AAAGTAAAATGTTGGGGGAAAAAGATATACCAGGCAAACATTAATAAAAGAAAACAAGAGTGTTATATTGTTATTAGATAAAAATGACTTTTTTAAAAGATTTTATTATGTATTTGACAGAGATAGATACAGTGAGAGCAGGAACACAAGCACGGGGAGCAGGAGAGGGAGAAACGGACTTCCCACAGAGCAGGAAGCCCGATGCTGGGCTCGACCCCAGGACCCTGGGATCATGACCTGAGCTGAAGGCAGATGCTTAACGACTGAACCACCCAGGCGCCCCTAGATAAAAATGTCTTTAGAGCACAGAAAATTACCAAGGATAAAGAGGAACCATTATATAATGATAGAAGGGTCATTTCACCAAGAAGACACAGCAATCTAAACTTTTATGCACCAAACAGTAGAGCTACAAAATGTATAGAAATGCAAAAACTGATAGAACTGAAAGGAAAAAACGACAAGTCCACTGTTATAACTGAAGATTTGTATATGCCTCTCTCAGCAACTGATAAGAACTACTTGGCAGAAAATGAACAAGAATATAAAAGAACTCAACAACCCCATCAACCAAAGTGTCTAATCCTTTCTTTTACCCATGGAAGATACACCGATATAGACCATAATCTTGACCATAAAACAAAACTTAACCATTTCAAAAAAATTGATCTAATATGAAGTATATTCTCTTGCCACAGTGGAATCAAACTATGTATCAGTACTAGAAAGACAACAGGAAAATCTCTAAACACTCTGAAACTAAATAATATGCTTCTAAATAATCCACAGGTAAAAGCAGATGTCTAAAGGGAGCTAGAAAGTATATAGAACTGAAAGAAAATGAAAATCATATCATAATTTTTTGGGCACAACCAAAGCCATGCTGAGAGGATATTTATAGCACTAAATGCTTACATTAGAAAAGAGAAAATGTCTCAAATCTATACTCTAACTTTCTATATCAAGAAACCAGACAAAGAAGAGAACAACATATCAAAAGCAAGCAAAGGAAGGAAATAATACAGACAAGGGCAAAAATTAGTGGAAGTGTAAACAGGAAAATAATAGAGAAGATCAATAAAACTGAAGTCTTGTTCTTTGAAAAAAAAATTGATAAAATTGAGAAGCCTCCAGCAAGCCTGACAAAGAATAAAGTAGACACAAATGACTAGTACTAAGAATTAAATAGGGGATAGTAATACAAATGCTGCAGACATAAAAAAGATAATAAGGGAATACTATGAACAACTATACACTATAAATTTTATAATTTAGATGAAATAGATTACTTCCTTGAAAAATACAAGTTACCACAACTCACCCAATATGAAACAAATCATTTGAATAAACCTATAACTATTAAGGAGTTGAATTTGGAATTTTTTTAAACTCCCGAAAAGACAAATCTCTAGGCCCAGATATTTTTACTAAAGGATTTTACCAAATGTTTAAAGAAGGATTAATACCAAGTCTATACAGTCTTTTCTGGAAAATAAAAAAGAAGAAACACTTCCCAATTCATTTTATGAAGCTAGTATTCTCCTAATACCAAAACCAAAGAGAATACAAGAAAACTATATACCAGTGTTTCTCATGAACTTTGATGCAAAATCCTCTGAAAGAGTTTTTCAAAGAAATAAGTTTTGAATGCACTTTCAATAGACATCCCACCACCAGAGATAATATCAAGGATGTCTCCAAGATTCAGATTCTGCAAAGCATAAGTTTTCCCCACACCACTGTCTTTTTATAATACACAGTGTGCCACTAAAAATATTTTATTTAAATTTCACAAAAATAACATCAGGTCCAATATTTGGATGACCAACAAAGGTTTAAGACCAATAATTTAGAAATTGGCCTCACTTAAACAGAACTAGATTATCTTACAATCCTTTCTTGCATAAAGATGTACTCTTTAGCCATATTCCCTTAACATCTATCTTCTTCTGTCCTCCCTTCACTGTAGGGGAATTTACTGTTCCAGTAGTCTCTATCATTCTACAAATCAGAAAAAGCAAGGCATTGGCCTCTCCCATCTCTTACTGCAAGGGGTGAGGTGGGGGGGGGGGTAGAATGGAAAATAGAGAAGATGAGGGCAAAGCTATAAATTAGAGTCAAGTTGAGGAAAGAATACCAGTGAGGAAAGAATAAGGCCATTCCACAGCAGGGAACAGTATTTTTAGAATGCTTACCTGAATGGTAGTTATTCAATATAAGTGAAAGTCTGAACAAACTATAATGCAAGACTTGTTTAATCAAAGTATAATCAACTCTCCTGAAATAGGATTTTTACTTAGAACTTTCTGTTCTTAATTAAGGGAAGCATCCTTGGCTAGTGGTTTGTCATTGTTGATCTCACACCCACTCTTGACCCCACCTCACCTGCAGAATATAGCGAATTTGCTGTTTTGTAAACTCTGACAATCCTTTAGGAATCAAGGATTCAATGTCTTCTGACTGTAAGAAAAGAAATTTATCCATTTAACAGATGCATATTAGTATTATAATCTTAGAGTCAGTAGTTCACAGACTTCTGTGCAGCAGAGCATATTTTTAGGAACATCAAAAGATTATTTCATTTTCTGGGCAATAGTTGCTACCAACTTCATTTCTAGCCTTATCAGTTCTTACTTTTAAAAAATTGATTATACCATATACACTATGGAAAGAACCTTGAATTCCAGGCATTTTAGGGAACAGCTTTGTGCAACCAACCAGATGTTCCATTTTTACTTTTTTAAAAGAGTAATTTAAAAAAGAAGATGGTTCTCAAATCCCATTAAACACTTTATTTCAGTGTATCTTTCAAAAACTGGAAGCTTTTCTGGGTGGTTAATATGACATTTTCAAGGTTGATTTTTTTAAATAACGAAAATTTGGGGAAATAAAATTAAGAGCTTATTGAGGATTTATATTGAGCTATGATAACTTCTGAAAAATTAAGATGTTGCCACAACAACACTGAGAAGCTTTAACTAGTTTTTTTTGGCTTGAAGAAACACAGATTTATTATCTCATAGATCTAGAGATTGGAAGTCAGTGGGCTAAAATTAATGTATCAGCAGGACTGCATTCTTTTGGTGGGCTCTAGGGGAGAATCTATTTCATTGCTTTTTTGTTTCTACAGGCTGCATGAATTCCTTGGCTGGTGGCCTCATCACTCCAACCTTGGCTTCTCTTGGCAGATCTAACTCTGACCTCCTGCCTCCCTCTTTTAAGGACCCTTAGTGATTACATTGGATCCACCCACATAATCCAGGATAATCTCCTTACTTTAAGATTCTTAATTTAGTCACATTTGCAAAGTCCCTTTTGCCATGTTAAAGTAACATATTCAAAGGTTTCGGGGATTAGGATGTGGACATCTTTGGGAGGCCATTATTCTGTCTTCCACATCATCTTATTGCCCTCATTCTGAAGCTCATATCCATACAGTTCCTTTTGTGAAGTCTAGATCCAAAAGAGGGAGATTCTAATAGAGGCAGGGTCTCCCTCTCCACCTGCCCAAGACCCTCCTCCTTGGATGACTGACCAAGAATCCACTTCCTCAGAGCATATCTTGCCCTCTTCCACAGGGGGTGACCTTCCTCTATGGCTGTTGCAAGACAAGTTCATTACAATACCATCCAGTACCCCTGACTTCAGTACCCCTCCCTCAAACCATAGAAGAATGATATCCTTACAAAAACACAGAGAGCTGGGCTCCTGGGTGGCTCAGGCAGTTAAGTGTCTGACTCTTGATTTTGTCTCAAGTCATGATCTCGGGGTCCTACGATCAAGCCCCACCTTGGTCTCAGTGCTGAGTGTGAAGTCTGCTTAAGATTCTCTCTTTCCCTCTCCCTCTGCCCCTACCCCTACTCACACACACACTCTCTCTCTCAAGTAAATAAATAAATCTTAAAAAAAAAAAAAAACAGAGAGGAAAGTACTGAAGCTAAGGTACTTCAGACACTTATCTCCCCAAATCCCATGCCTAGCCCACCAAGCATCATTGTCTTCTTTTTTTTTTATTCAAGTGTAATTAACATGCAGTTATATTAGTTTCAGGTGTACAATATGATTCAACAACTGTATACATTTCTCAGTGCTTATCAAATTAAGTGTACTTTAAGCCTCTTTATCTATTTTATCCATCACCCCACTGACCTCTCCTCTGGTGAGAAGCTTCAACTAATTTTAAGTGAGAAGCAATTCAGTACTTCTTAATGGCAATCTAGGGCTTTCTGAATTATTGTAATGAATACAGTATATCAATGCATTGGAAATAAAAAAATAACACAAAAAGGCCACTGTGCTTTTTTATTACATTGAAATCAGTTTTCCCTATTTGATGACTTATTCCATTAAAAGTAATTATTAACAAAATGTGCATATATAATAGAATTAATACTTGAAAAAAATGTACTTTAAGTTGCTGTCTATTTGGCATGGGTCATATAAGGTTTCAAAATGCACTAAAACTAAATTTGCTATTTATTTAGTTAATGTAGGTTTCAATTTTCTAAAGCAAAGAGTATTTGGTCAATGAAATTTTAAATGTTTTGATAAACAAAGACAAATTAAATCATAAATGACAACTGATAAAACATTTTTGCATGAATAATTATTACTCTTGTTATTATTTTAAATATCTATTTATTTATTTTAAAGGGCATGCCAGAGAAAGACAGTGGAGGGGAGGGGCAGAGGGAGAAGGAGAGAAAGAACTTCAAGCAGATGCCACACTGAGCATGGAGCCCAACGTGGCTCTCAATTCCACAACCCTAAGATCATGACCTGAGCTGAAATCAAGAGTTCGAAGCTCAACTAACTGAGCCACCCAGGCTCCCCAATGATTATTACTTTTTATAGCCATTACAAATATATAAATAGTTTTATCATTTTAAAGGCAAAATCATCATCGTGTTTCTCACTAATCTCTGTTTCCAGTCTAATATAGGTACCAAACTAAAACAATATCATTAGTGAAAATGTCAGAATCTGCTTTGTTATCAACTATATTTGATTTTCAACTATTTTTGCACTTACCTCAGCTGTGGACTCAAAGTCCTCTTTGCTGTAAGAGTGAAAAAAAAGGATAGACAACTTAAGAAAATGTATATAATGATCATATATAAATGTTAGTGTTCAAATTATATTATCTTACTTTTTGATATATCATAATAGCAACATTTAAATTTATAATTCAAATAAATTTTAAACTAACTAAAATGGATTTGACAAAAATAAAGATAATTTTCCTGGAACTAGCTAATCTATTAAAATGAATAATATCAAAATAACAAACCAAAAGAATATAAAGAATCAGTTACTGCCATCCATTAGCACCTGTTCATTTGTGGATAGATGTACAAGTCCTTGGCACTGGCCATAAGTGCTACCTGAGTGAATTAATAACAATAATAGTTGTTCTCTATTTCCACCTCCCTCCTGTATTGCTTACTTTCAGTGCTGAGTCCAGCTTCTCTCCATAGAGTCTTCAAGTTATTCATACCCTTTTCATCAAAATCAAAACTTGCAAGACAAGGCTAACTCATTCAATCTACACTACACTATATGGCAGTGACAAAACTTAAAATGTATTTGAATGTTTACATAGGGACAGGGCCTTAAGCAACATGACCAAAATTCTAGTGGGATAATAGCACTTCTAGCATCAAAATGGATGTTTGGGCACCATGGTTGGAAGACCCTTTGTGATGCCATATTAGGTAGGCAAATGCTGCAAAAGAATTGTTAGTGATTATGCCAGTCTGCCACTTGCTCCTTTGGGGAATAATGAAAGTGGAAAAGGGTACAGTTCTAGAGTCAGTGGCAAGAGACAGGCCTTTATTTCTGCCTACTTGCTCCATCTGTGCTTAATTGAAGAACTGGGTACAAAATATATGGTGAATACACTTCTCAAATAAAAACACAGTAACACATGTCCTGACAGCAAGGCAGAATATTTTAAAGATGGTCATATAAAATCAGAGGTATATGAGTGCCACATCTTCAGTATAAGAAAAAAGTATTTTAGAGATATGTTAGGACATTAGCTCCTACCTTTACCTTCTAAGTAAGTGCTTATGAGTAATATATTGCTTACAGAGATAAGAGGGTCACTCACTGTACAAAACATCTTGCATACGTTTAAAAAAAAGACTAATGTGGAAGAAGATAACTGAAGATTCAATTTCCTGAAGCATGACTACATATTTGCTGTTGTTTGTATGTATGTATGTGACATTTCCTGTGTTGCCCAAAATAGAAATTGTGGAGAGGCCCTAGAAATATAAATAAATAAATAAATAAAATATCATGTACTTTTTGAATGCTTTTTAAAGTAATGGCATGCATATACTGGGAGTGACAACAAGTTAAAAATAATAATCAATGCAGTTTTAGTCATCTTTCATTACTATTAACTGGAATTATCACAGTATTAATGGACCTTTCTGTTAAAAATTCCACTTCCCAAGCCAACTTAGTACATGTGTCCCTAGTCATTTCTTTCTACAAATAAGAAAACAAAACAAACAAATAAAGCAAGGAACAATCAACAGCACTTAATACTGCAATGTTTTAAAGTAACCAGAATGGTTTTGTGAGACAACTTTCCTTAATTCTGACCCTGAACCCACTCATTGCTTAATTGTAACATAGAAAAAGAAGAAAAGTGGGGACAAAAGGAGAGGACAAAAGAGGGGACAAAGGAGGGGACAAAAGAGAGAGAGTGAAAACAAAGACAGCAGAGCAAGGAGGTGGAGAGGTCAATGTGAATTACATCTCCAACCTCACCAGGGGATGGTGGCTAGAATTACAATGGGCAGAAAACAACAACAACAACAACAACAACAACAAAAAACCCACAAAAAAACAAAACAAAAAACAGTGGCAAGAGAGGAGGAGAACATGGCAGCAGAGTAGGAGGACCCTAGGTTCCTCAATTCCCATGAACACAACTAGAGTACTATCAAATCATCCTAAACATCCTAGAAATTGACCTGAAGACTGACAGAACAAATTTCACAACTAAAGGGAGAAAAGAGGCCACATCAAAGAAAGTAGGAAGTATGGAGATGTGGTTTAAGGGAAAAACAGATTCTGGGTGCTGTGAAGGGGAGAGCCATGGTCACGGAGAATGGTGAGAGAGAGAGAGAGAGAGGAGCACACAGGGAAACCCACATGGAGAATGTTTTCCCAAAGCCATTGGCTTGGCCAGTGAGAAGGGCTGAATTTAGTTAGACCTTGCAACCAGCAGGGCTTAAAGCCTGGTTTTAAAGGACAGCAGGTTTGGCTGAGATAGAGCCCTGAGAGCACTGCTCTGCTCCTGGAGAGAAGGCAGGCAAACAACCTGGGGGCAGATGGTATGGCAACAAAGATCTGAAGTATGCCTCAGGCACACAGTGGAGAGATTATACACTGCTCTCAGAGCACGTCGCTGAGAGGCAGCTTTCACAGAGGCCTCTCTGAGAAGAAAGGAGCTGGCTGGCAACATTTTCTACCCCGACCCCAGCATAAACAGAGAGCCACCTGTAGTAAGCAGTTCAGTGGGGACACTGGCTGCCTAACTTGCTTATACCAATCCTACCTGCCTGTACTTTGGTGGGACTGCCCTTCTAAGTCAAGCATACCTCAGTACCAACACAGTGGGCCCCTCCTCCAGAAGACCTGCCAAACCCCTGCTCACACTAGATCTGCAGGGCCTCAGTCCTGGTAAAGTTAGTGTCAGGTCTCATTTCACAAGCAGACCAGATCACACTGAGTAAAAACTCACCACATTCAGGCCAGGTACCAAACACTGCTCATAGCAGGCAAGGAGAGCCTAGGCAGATGACTGACCTGAAGGATACCACAGCCAAAATATCACCAAAGAGTGCACACAGCACATATGAGAGACAAGCCCTGAAGTGCCAGGCTCTGGGCACTAGAAAACCTCTTCCTCAGAAGGACATTAATTTCAGGAGCAGGAGACATAACCGGCTTTTCTAACACAAAGAAGAAGGCAGACACTAAGACAAAATGCCAAGACAGAGAAACTTATCCCAAATGAAGGAACAAGATAAGGCCACAGTCGTAGATCTAAGTGAAACAGATATAAGTAACAGGCCTGGTGGAGAATTTAAAGCAACATTCATAAGGATACTCACTGGGCTTCAGAAAAGAATGCAAGACATCAGTGAGACCCTTATCACAGAGATAAAAAAGTCAAAAAAGAATCAGTCAGAGATCAATAATGCAATAAATGAGATTGGAAACAAACTTGATGCAATCAACAGCAGGCTGTAAGAAGCAGGGGAATGAATCAGTGACCCAGCAGATGAAATAATGGAAAATAATGAAGCTGAACAAAAGAGAGAAAGAAGAATTAATGTAATATGAGAATAGACTTAGGGAACTCAATGACTCCATCAAATGTAATAACATTCATATTATAGGAGTCACAGGAAAAAAAGAGAGAGAAAAGGGGGCAGAAAACTTATTTGAAGAAATAATAGCTGAAAGTTTCCTTAATCTGCAGAAACAGACATCCCGATCCAGGAGGCACAGAGAACTCCTATCAAAATCATCAAAAGCAGGCCAACACCAAGACATATTGTAATTAAATTTGCAAAATATAGTGAAAAAGAAAACATCTTAAAAGCAACAAGACAGAAGTCCTTAATATACAAGGGAAGACCCATAAGTCTAGCTGCAGCTTTCTCAACAGAAACTTGGCAAGCCAGAAGAGAGTAGCATGATATATTCAAAGTGCTGAAGGGGACAAATCTGCAGTCAAGAATATTCTATCCAGCAAGGCTAACATGCAGAATAGGAGAGATATCTTCCCAGACAAACAAAAACTAAAGGAGTTCATGACCACTAAACCAGCTCTGCAAGAAATATTCAAGGGGACTCTGAGTGCAAAGGAGAGACCAACAGTGACAAAGACAAGAAAGAATGAGAGAAAATCTCCAGAAACAATGACAAAAAAGTAATAAATGCATATGAACCAATAATTATTTTGAATGTAAATGGACTAAATGCTCCAATCAAAAGACATAAGTGTCAGAATGGATTAAAAAACAAGACCCATCTATATGCTTCCTACAAAAGACCTATTTTAGACCTAAAGACACCTGTAGATTTAAAGTGAAGGGATGGGGGGGCCTGGGTGGCTCAGTTGGTTAAGCGTCTGCCTTCGGCTCAGGTCATGATCCCAGGGTCCTGGGATTGAGCCCCGCATCAGGCTCCCTGCT